GCAAAGCACAGGGACCGCGGTTCAATCCCCCAGCACCACATGCCAGCCAGCCCGCCCCCTGGTGGGCTGAGCTGGCCACACACACACACACACACACACATGCATTAAAAAAAAAAAAAATTGCATCTGTGCCAAACATACACAAGACCCTTTTCTTGTCATTCTTCCAAAATAATGTAACAACTATTTACATAGAATACATATTATATTAGCTATCATAAGTAATCTGAGATGTAACCTGTACACAGGAGGGAGGGAGTAGATTTTATGCAAATGCTTTGCCATTTTATGCAAGTGACTTGAGCATCCGGGGATGTTGGTACTCATGGTGCATCCAGAAAGTCGTCCCCCACGGATACTGACTGAGCGAATTTTGTACCTAGAATGGTCAAGTTCCTACAAACAGGAAATAGAAAGATGGTGGCCAGGGCCTTGAGAGACAGGAGAATGAAGAGGTAATATTTAATGGGCGCAGAGTTTCAATTTTACGAGTTCTAGAGACAGGTGATGGAGGTGGCTGTGTAACACTATGAATCTGTATATTCTGAGTGCTTGAAATGGTTGGAATGGTAGCTTCATGAGCTATAGTTTTCCACCATGGAAACTTTTGAAGGCACACAAAAAAAGAAAAATGGGGAAATAAAGTGATAAATATATGAGACAGAAAGCAAAGATCATTCATTAGCGTTTATGAGTTCAAAAAGCGAATCAAACCAAAATTCTAAGTAATTTTACTGTGAAAATTTGTCTTGAAAAATACTTTGCCCTCCTCGCCTGGCCTCAGTCCTCTTTCACAGGTGCCACCAGGCTACCAACGTGTAGAAATACAGTTTTCACTGGTTATCTAATGTTATCTAATAACACTTCATGTTTTCAAAATTTAGGTAACAGTAGAAGATTCGTCTATTGAAATACCCGGATGTATAAGCTGTCTCGGTTACTCTTCTTGCATTGCTTGGACAAAGTACTCAACACCCAAAATGAAGGGAGGAAAGGTTTATTTAGCTCACAGTTCCTGGAGGTTTCAGTCCATACTCAGCTGGCTCCAAGGCAGAGTGGCACAGGGCAGAGGGCAGCAGTTCATGGCCGTGGAAGGCAGCAAAACAGCAAGAGCCAAAGTAATAGCAACAATGGCTGCAGAGAGTGAGTCTGTCCCCCTTAAGTCACATCCAGGCTATCCGCCCCAGGCTGGGTGTAGTACTCACACCATAGTCCCAGCAGCACTCACACCCATAATCCCAGTGGATCATGAGTTAATCACATACTCTCGAAGTCCATCCCACGATTGCATGAGGCTTTGGGGGGACACCTAGACACAAACAACAGCATAAGCAAAGTAAAATAATTGTGTTGGTGTCAGCCTTATTACAGTATATAATTCAATAGCTCTCAGTATAAGCTACAGAGCTATAGAACTGTCACCACTATCAATTTTAGATCTCCCCCAAGAAATGTCTTACCTTTCAGATATCACCCAACTCCACCTCTTCACTCTAGACCCTAGGGGTCCCTAATCTACTGTCCTTATAAATCTATCTCTTCTAGGCATTTCCTACAAATGGTACCTAGCAACATGAGCTCAGTCTGGCCTCTTTCATTTCACCATATAATGTTACAAGGTCCGTCCAC